GAGTGGATCATCGGCGAGTGTTTGATAGTAGCAGGCGGCGCAAGTTAATTGACCGTTGACTTTCGAAAAAACTTGTCTTTTTTAACGCATGCACAATTATTCAGTGAGAATGAAAATATATTCACGAATCGCATAACCATGTTACATCGATACGAAAGATAAAAAGTAAAACGAAAATGATTACGATAAAAATTCAGTTTGAGAGCGGCATATAGTGTCACTACTAATTTATAATGAACATTAGTGTCAACATTTGGGTATTGGTACGGATCTAGGCCAGGAATTCAGCCGATGCAGTATATTTAGAATAACTTAAATATATTTTGTAGAGACAAGAAACTGAGAGTAAAATTCCTATGAAGGCATTGTAACACTGTCTTGTCTGACAGCTGATTGGACTTACTTTTTATCTCGGGACTAGCTTATCCCTAACGAAAAGCATTATACGTTTGTTTGTCGTTCGATCCTTTTCCTTCCTATTGAGAATCAATGCGCCTGTTGAGGAAGAAACCCTTACACAAATGTTGGGCATTCTTCCTTTATGTCAATGCAGAAAGTATATTCACTGCTTTAACCAAGCAGTAGAGACTTATGTATTTTACATTGAGTTTTCTATCTCTCAAGAACATATAATGACCACAAAAAGACTCGAATTTCCGTGGTAAGTCATAAGTCTCTTCTTATTTGGTCGGAGTAATATCTATGAAGGTTAGCAATTAGCAATAACTGCTATGTTAGTAAACTGACATTTGGCATAAACCTGTAACCTAACCAGTTAATTTTGTGTGGTTGACTAAACTATAACAACCCCATATGTCTTAGCTTCAGCACAATCTACCATTCGAAATGAAAATTTCGTTTTAGCTCCATGTCAAAGAGAAAGTTACTCGGCATTATCTCGAGATAGATATATCTGTTGACAGCTGAGCAGCAACGTAAGAAAACTTACACGACTCAAGAGCTTTCACGGTACCATATATGGGTTCCCTTGTTCTAGAATAGTTGTTTGATTATAACGTAAATTTATGCAAATATAAGTAGAGCATGAGAATCAAAACATTGTCATAGGTAAGAACTTGTATCAGTTCTCTATTCATGCATTTTTGGTAGTGATAGCGATGTGCCATTCGTATCCAACTGTATCCCTCCCTCTTATATTCGTGTAAACTTTATCAATTTGTTTTTAATCTCGTTTCCCGGCCAACTAACGGTATCCTCATCAAACGAATCCTTGTTGAAAATTTGGAAAGCTCAAGTTTCTCTAAATATTAGCAACAATCTCAGCACTTTATTTTATTGCTTATTCGAATAAAAGATGTTAAGCAACTATTATCTTCACTCGAAAAGAACGAACACAAATAAACGAAAATTAGTCTCGATTGGAATTCGAACCCAGGCAGTGTCCACAACTGGCAATCAGTCAGACGCTTTAACTAATTCACGAGGAAAATACCTCTAGTGAATAATCGTTTTTGAGATCGAAGTCTGTGCATAAGGTAGACCCCAGTAAATTATGAAAGATCTCAAAGAAATAAGAGCCCATAGGCCTTCTCTCCAGAGTTATAGTCATTTTACCGCAATTTTAGCCCATAACAAGATGTACAATAACAAATCGAATGACGATACTTCGTCCTGAAATTTTGCTCACAGATAGGCCCACTTGTACTTAGAATGCCCTGCAATTTTTAGATCAAAGAAATCTTTCATTCACGAGATGTTAAATCTGGAAGAAACATTAGACTTTCGCATCGTTCATGAAATATGAGTGATTTTAGAAAACTCAATATTTCATAAACGAAACTTTTCTTTGATCTAAAAATCTCAGGAATTCTAATAGTTACAAGTGGAAGCTATCGGTGAGCAAAATTTCAGGTCAAAACACCGTCGTTCGACTTTTTACTGCATATTGTGCTAGGCGCTTAAGTTCTCGGAAAATGGTTATTACTCTGGAGGGAAGAACTATGGGCTCTTATGCTTTAGATATATTTCGATACATCACTGAAATCTGTCTTGTGCAAGGAGCTCGAACTCAAAAACGATTAATCACTTGGGATACTTCTGTCGTAAACTATCGAGACACAGCCTTAACCGAAATTGCAGCTTGATGTGAACATTTATATAATTTTTTCGAGTAATCTTACAACTAAAAACTTCGCTGTACCAGAATCAACTCGAACCGACTGCGATCAACGAGGGCTTGAAATAATGCCAGTTGAGATGAATCATATAAATATACATGTAGATGACAGGATTTATTTCATTCCTTATTCGAATGATAAATATTAAACGGTCATGTTCTTCACTCGAAACGATTAAATAGATATTTACATTAAATTTAAGTTTAAGTTAAGACTGTGTCTCGATAGCTTAGTTGGTTAAAGCGTCTGGCTAGTAGCCAGTTGTAGATACTACCTGGGCTCGAGTTCTACTCTCTAAAAAAATTCGTTTACCAAAAAATCCAAATATGTTCGGCAATCCATTCGGAAACCTTTAAATGTTTATGACAGGGTATCCGAAAACCTGTAGCGTTTCCAAAAATACCTTCTTGGTTTTCGAGTGTTCGGAAATCTCACAGTATCCCACACCACCCATTTCAACGCTCCTAAAGTATTCTAGAATACCTTCTTCCTGATATCGAAAACCCAATCACCTTTTCAGAAACCTGTGAGGTATTCTAGGAAACTGATATTGCTAGAAAATTGAGTAGCTATCCTCTGGGATAAGCGAAAAAACCTTAGTATGGTCGGGAAATAAAATCCTTTTCCAAAGTTCTCATGGTTAAACCGAAAGTTTCCGAAATTTCAGATGTGTTCAGAATGTTGCACAGTGACATACAAATAATCGATCCACAATGCCTTGAAAAAGGACATTTTAGTGTGCATATTTTGCGTTCCCCAACTTCTGCCTCGTTCAGCTTTAGCGTTTTCATGAGCAAAAGACTCCTCATATTTGAGGTATGGTCTCGTGAATTATGGAACTTTCTGCTATTGAAAGGTTTTTTAAAACTTGGAACTATATATATACTACTGGAAATAGTCATGTCATCTATGCGCTCTAGCCTTCATGTCGATTACGAAAACATATCGGTAACCTTAAAATCGTAGGTAACAAAATTTCCAGCAAACGTTATTTTTTTATGTTTTAGAATCATTTAGATCTTACTCAAATGGTAATTGACGATTCTAATCGAAAAAACATTATTTAATTCTTTGTTTTTGTTTTATTGAATAGTTTCAGTTTCAATTTGATTTGATTCAAATAGTAAGGTATATTTGATCTGATAAGATCTAAAACGATCTCTGATTTGTTGGTTCGATGCGATAAGGCTAGGTTGCGAAATGTGTTTTGTCACTGGAGAGCAGTCAAATCGCATTGCATTGCGGCTGTCGTGAGTTTGCAAACTCTTGTTCGGATACCCTTAAAGAGTTTCTTGGGAAACGGTTTTTTTAGAGAGTATTCAAGACTCACTTTTGTTTTTTGTGTTCGTTCTTTTCGAGTGAAGAACATAGGTATTTAACATCTTTTTTCGAATAATGAGCAATATTCTTAGTTTGATGTTCGAATAAATGTCATTAAGAACTCATTATCGGTCGTTGTCAAGGCAATTTTATCAGCTGTTCGAAAACCAATAGATAGTCCAATCCAGATTACACATGTATGTTTCTCATTAGACTCTTGAGAGATTTGCTCATGAACAAACATCTTTCAAGTGCCATTGATCTTCGCTAGTGCTAATTTTGAGCTTAATGAGGACAAAACTGAATTCGTAATATCACTCAATAAGGAAGAAGTCTTAAATGGCATGCACACCGTCAGCTTCATTTTCAGATTTTCATTATTAGTTCTACAAATTTCTTAATCCGATCCGTCACAAGAGAAAAAGAGCAATCATGTAATAACAAGAATATGAAACTCGTTTTCTGACATATTCGTATTCAAGATGAAAGTTCAATAATATTCGTCGTCCTCATTGATATAAGGTGCGCTGATAAGAACAGTGAAAGATATTGTCGAGAACCGAACCAAAACAATTTTAATAGCATGAGCAAAAGTCATGGGCTCAGTGGACAATGCATTCATATTACTTTCGAATACAGGAAGCATAATTTCGGCATGCTGAAAATGATGTCCTAAATGAAAGTCATGATGATTCAGGAATCACAAGACTGTCGTAAAAGTCAAAAAAGCATCTGCTGATAATATGTGACTGTAAAGAATGCTCTTCTCGGAGAGTACACCTAAAGTATTCTCATTATGCACAGACGTCTTACAAACAATATTTTTCTTATTGATTCTCGGATGTAATTGCCGACCACTAGTAGAACAGAATATTCTAAGCCAATTTAGTAGTAACGTCAAAACAATGGGTACTGCATGAGGTTTTATTTCGGATCAATATCGTTCAAATTACCGATGAGTGACACTGTTTTCAGATTTTTCATGTGAGGAACGCTCAATGAACTCTGAAACATCACGAGCTACGAGGAAGTATGAGAAAAACATATTAGTGCCAAAATGTACGAATTTTCACTTTCAGATAAATAAACTCTTTCATTCACTATTCTAATGCCATTCATAAACTAGAGACAGCAAGATCTCAAAAGAAGCTATCAAAGGCAGAAATCTCATCAATGTTGTAATATATTCAAGTGGCTAGAACAAAATATGCAGTTCTTAATCTCGATGAGTAAAGTTGCAGAAGGAAGAAGAAAATAAAAATCATGGGACGCAGGGCTTGTCCAAATGCTCCCAACCATACACCATCCGCCCGATCTACTCATCCACCTTCTCAACAAATGCTTAAAAGATGATATTTATCATAGCTTAGTGGTGCGTTATATGGTGCTATCAATTCAAATTCTTTTCATGATCGTTTCCATTTTACTGTTTATTTTTCGCATCGATGTAACATGGTTATACGATTCATGAATACAGTTTCATTCTCAGCGAATAATTGTCCAAGTCTTAAAAAGCAGAGTTTTACGAAAGTCAATATTCAATTAAATTAAGCCACCTGATACTATCAAAGACTCGCCTGTGACCCACTCAGAATCATCAGATGCGAAGAAAACAGCAACGCGGGCGATATCAGCAGGCTGACCAACACGACCAAGTGGTGTTTGTGAGATAACTTGCTTTTCAAAGCTGCTACCAATTACCCCGGCTGCACGAGTTCCTTCCGTGTCAACCAAGCCAGGACTAATAGAATTGACACGTATTTTGCGTGGACCTAGCTCCTTTGCAAGAGCTTTTGTTATTGCATCGACAGCTGCCTTGGTGGCACTGTAAACAGAGAGCTGCGGAGCCGGTGATGTACTTGCAGTCGATGCAATGTTGATGATCGTACCGTTTCTGGCAGGATCAAAATATTTTACAGCTTCTCTACAGCAAAGGATAAGACCAAGCACATTGACGTTGAAGTGTTTATGATAGTGTTCAATTGTAACATTTTCGATTGATCGAAACTCATAGACACCTGCATTATTGACTAAGATATCGAGTCTACCATAGGTTCTTTTAGCCATGGCGAAAAGACGTTGAATGTCTGCCTCTTCTCTTACATCTGCTTGAACCGCAATTGCATTGCCACCTTTGCTAACAATTTCGTTAACAACGCGATCAGCTCCTTCTTTACTTGACAGATAGTTCACGACGACAGACGCTCCAGCAAGGCCAAGATGCTTAGCAATAGCGGCACCGATTCCTTTGGATGATCCTGTCACAATTGCGACTCTTCCATTTAGTTTGCCCTTTTGTTGATCTTCTGAAATATGACTATGCATCAATATTCGTTTCTCTTCAGTCTCATCATTGATGCAGGATTTCGTGAAACAGGATTAGGAATGTGTGTTGAAATGCATATTTAAAAAAAAAGTGATACAATGCTTTTGGTTATAGATGGAATGATTCTAGTTTTTTGGTACCTTTACTGCTACTGATCTAAAACCGTCAGACTGATCGCACTGGACGATATACTCATAGCAGGGAGTATCGAGGTTAGATAGCTTTTTACAATCGAGCCTTCTTTCACAGAAAACTGTGACAAGTTACTAATTTATAATCTACGGTGCAACAGTAGTTGTCAAAATCTCTAGTTATTGTACAGCTATAATTTTAGAGAACGACTCCGAGAGGGAGAAGAAGCCAAAAACCAAAGACCTCCAGAAAAGCTGTCATACCTGAACCACCCATTAGTATCAAATATTTTTATTTCGTGAATTTCTCTAATGCCGACGGACAATGTAAAAACACTTTCAATGGTGTTTTTTTGTAGCCTAAAGCGTTCTCTATCTAATCCTATGTTGGAAGTAAAGTTATTGCTAGTTTTAACACGAGTACAGCGCTTCTTTGAGGAGAGAGTAAGTAATTAGGTTGTTTTCTCAATTTGAGTGGATGTAGGATTTGGGTAGTGAAGATGTAGGTGGATATGGGTATGCTGGTCTGAGTTTCGGTTTAGGCCTAGGCGTGGAGTTGATAGTGATTGAAGTGTGGATAGCGGAATTGGTTGGTGGATGAGGATATAAGTGGGCCATTGTGCGTGAAGGTGTACAGAAAGTTCACATTCACATATGATGTTCATGCAGTTTTCTTTAAAAAGTGAGACTGAGTACTTTAATCCTTAAGAGCCCAATGTCCCTTCCAAGGGACATTTAAATAATTGTAATCAAAGTCTAATAAAAATGTTGTAGACAAAAACCAATATTTTTCTGGATTGATATGACTTTAGAGACCATACCTAGACCAAAATGTACTATTCAGGTGGCTGTCAGGCGTAGCAAAACACCTTTTAGGACTGATGACTTTTTTCAATAACACCTTTGTTCCCTAAAGTTGTATCTATTCGGAAATGCGACATACAGTGTAGTTTATTTTACGTTACACTCTTAAGCTTATCATCAAGCTATTCAATGTCAGGGTTCTAGAATCTTTTAACCGATCTACTGACAGATTGTGCCGTGATCAATAAAAAATTCCTTTGGTGAGACATTCAGCCTCATAGAAGAATCAAAACAATGTATTTCTAACATGGAACTGGGCTCGTACATAGCCCTAGTAGTGTTTAGGAAGTTTCAAAATTTTCAGGAACAACTGTTCTTTCTTTCGCGAGATACAGAATGTTGAAGTTTTTAGCAATTTTTAGCAAAATTTAGCTGATTTTTGAATTTTGAATATCTCAGCAAGAAAGCATCCGTTCTAAGTGAAAATTTCGGAGCATATTAAGTATTATCAAAACTATTTAAAGGCAAAGTTTCAGATCGAAATTCCTATTTTTTCGAATTTTTACAGGGATGGATATTCCTGCCCAAGGAAGTTGCATAGGTCCAGAATAAGAAGAAGATAATTATTTTTAACTATAGTACGAGTATACTGAGGATCCATAATCTCTGTTTTTCTAATTAGATTCTCATTTTTATAAGCGGGAGCCATTTCGGCTCTTAAGGGTTAAATCTATCTGAGCGCATCTTTCGGTGGCGAATTATACAAAATGGAAAACACGTTAGCACCCTTGTAAATGAAAGGATCTCATAAGTGAAAGCCTATGAAGCCATCCAACACTCTGGAAACCTGTTATTCTCTGGACTGAAAAGATAGGGTCTAGACACCGTAATTCATCTGTGTCTGTCTGTCTGTCTGTCTGTCTATAACAAAAGTGTTGGCCGTGGCAAAAATGACAATTTTATGGCACACATGACCATTGTTGTGTCACAAACGATCATTTTCCATGTCACAAACGACCATTTTCCATGTCACAAATTACCATTTCTGTGGCATAAATGGCCATTGTTATGGTACAAAAGGTCCATTTTGATGCTTCAAATGACCATTTTTATGGCGCAAATACCCATGTCTAATGAATAATACTTAGCCATGGAACATCTAAATATAGAACGATTCATGATCGTTTAGGAGAGTGCTTATTCTATCTGGGATGGTTGTTGAAGTGGCAATAGCTGCTACCAAAGTATGGAATGGTTCTATCCATTATTCAGTGATGTATGCAATGTGATGTAATGCGATAATTATTAATAATTAGAGATCTGGATATAAATCTGTGATAAGCTTAAATTTAAATACTCGAATAATGCAATAATAGTCTCTTTTGAGGTAGAAATAGCGTTAAAATAACCAATTGTGTATACTCCTACACATTTGTATGCTATTTTTATCAATTAGTATTTATGTAACACAAGCTCCTTTGTAAATATGAAGAAAACAATTCATCATATGAGCGACAACAAAATCGGTACATTTTCACTTTTCAGATAATATTCATATCACCCCGGAGGGGTTTTGAAGGGTATGTTCTCGCAAAATAAAATTTTATTTTGCGAGAACATACCCTTCAAAACCCCTCCGGGGTGATATGTTTTTCATATTGAGTCTTCGAGCATTGAATCTAAAACATTAGCATACTACTATTTGTGAACGCATAACTTTAATAGAATTGCATGAATGCCAAATATGCGAATATGTGAGAAAAGTAATTATTCATTCACTGTATTCAAGTATCATATGATATTAAAAATCGGGTGTTAAAAACAGCATGAAATAACGAAGGCGAACAGATTTACAACAGTGTAACATTAAACACCTTCACACATTATTCGTAGAAAAACCGATAGCTCTCCAAATATAAACTGAACTTAATTAGACACGAGTAGCATATCTGAAATTGGTTTTTCTTTCTACACGTTAAAATCAAGGTCTATATTACGAAAAAATTGCTATTGTAAAAAAGATTAGTTGTTGTTATATGTCCAATTATCTATTGTATTGATCTAACACTTTGACTGAACCGTATTTATATCTAGATGCGCCTATATTCATATCTCTATGGTGTCCGTCTAGGGCCTCGTGAATCTATTCTCTATGAACGTTACTTGTAATATATTCACACTTTAAAATTCAAACACTACTTATACTCCCTTTATGCTACATATCATCAAATTTACGTAGAAAAAGTTTCAGATTAAATGTGTTTTTCGCATCGATATGATGGAGTTTGAATAGGATAGTCATTCTTCAATATTCTTGAAAATTCGGTAACTCCTATTTCACGACTTTCTCGCCTAATTTATTATCGATTTTCTTCTCTTGCATCTCACTCAATAGAGCAAAGAAAACTAAGCACCCGAAACGACCTTTCAACTGGCATATGTAGCATTTCTCTTTGGAAGCCTTTGAAAAATATCGATTTCAAAGCCTATGTTTTGAGAATTTTTACCAATATACTGGGTGTGTAAAATTTGTTTTCCAG